TATTGGGAATGGAATAGTGCGGTGGTAATTCAACGCCATGACCCCAGCAGACCTTATGCCGAGCAATATAGGATTGACTGTCATCAATTCACAAACCTTTATAAGCTTGTGTCACCCTGGACATGTGGAGAACATACCGAGGTTGTAGCAGAAAGACTGTTCCGGCTCCTGGATGAAAACATGGATCACCTGATTGAATTCAAAGCTTTTGCTGGGTGTTTAGGTAACTATGGGGAATTTTCAGAAGGGGGTATACTGCTGCATATGGGTTTCATCACTGTGTGCTTCTTTGGGTAATTTGGCCACTAGGAATCATAAAGTTGCTTTTCCTACTGATAGCTGCACATAGCTAGAATAGATCTTCTAAAGTCTACAGGGTGTCATTTCATTTGGCACTGTGAAGCACTTATGCACTGTTACCTTTGTAGTTTGCTTTTCCAACTTGAATAGAAACTTGGGAAAGATACTACCACCTCAAGGCTTACAGTCAAGTGTCACTCATTAAAGTTACCTTTTAATTCTTTTAAACACAAAAGAATTAGTAATTAACTTATGGAGTCCCTGGTGGCGCAATGGGTTAAACCCTTGTGCCGGCAGATTGAGCTCCCTTTGTCAGCTCCAGCTCTTCATGTGGGGACATGAGAGAAGCCTCCCACAAGGATGGTAAAACATCAAACATCCGGGCTTCCCCTGGGTAACATCCTTGCAGATAGCCAGTTCTCTCACACCAGAAGCGACTTGCAGTTAAGTCACTCCTGACACACAAAACCCAAAAACTTATGAACATTTCAGTTTTAGAAAGCTTTGTATAACATTGTTTTCCTTCACTGTTTTGTATAGTGAGAAATGATAAAAGGAAGGTCAAGTCTCTGGTACCTTTTCTCTTTCAGATACAATGTACAATGGAGAAATGAATGAAAAAATAAAACTGTTGTACAAGCTGCACATTCCTCCTGGTAAGAATTTTCATTTTGTATTGCCTAGTTTATGTCAACACATGACTTTCTTGTAGTATATATACCCTACAGTACATTTTGTTTTAGTTTAGCTTGCATTTGGCAAGCCATAATGTATATTGCCATTTTTATACAGAATTGTCCAATTTGGGTAGCTTGCAATCCTCTCAGCAGCACCTTTCTCTTCGTGAAGCCCATAAACTTCTTCTCGTTTTCTTCCCAGCCTAGGGGCTATAACTGCAGCTAAAAACATGACAATCCCAGTATAACTTTTTCAGTCTGGACCTAGATAGATAGAAATAAAAAATAAGGTTGTTGTAGGTTTTTCAGGCTATATGGCCATGTTCTAGAGGTATTCTCTCCTGACGTTTCGCCTGCATCTATGGCAAGCATCCTCAGAGGTCGTGAGGTCTCACAACCTCTGAGGATGCTTGCCACAGATGCAGGCGAAACGTCAGGAGAGAATGCCTCTAGAACATGGCCACATAGCCCGAAAAAACCTACAACAACCCAGTGATTCAGGCCATGAAAGCCTTTGACAATAAAAAAAATAAGTTTGGAACCAAATGTGGAAGCAACAGAATACTGATCTCCTCCAATAATTGCTAAAGCTGGTTTGGGTATGGTGTAATTCTGTGATCATAAATAAAATTAGTTTGTTTTTATAGCACTCACAGAAGATGACAGAGACAGCCAGTCACCCCTAAGGAATCCTTTGTTGTCAACCTCAAGACCACTAGTAATTGGGAAATCTAATGGTAAGCTATCTGATTTTTAGGTGCTCATTTAAGAACAATTTGCTTAATTTTCTTAACTAGTTGAATTTGCTTCCACGTGATTTTTTTTCATGTGAGGAATGACTTGAGGAACTGCAAGTTGCTTCTGGTGTGAGAGAATTGGCCATCTGCAAGGACGTTGCCCAGCGGAACGCCTGGGGAGCTGGAGCTGACAAAGGGAGCTCAGCCCACTCTCCCTGGATTCAAACCGCTGACCTGTCAGTCAGCAGTCCTGCTGGCACAAGGGTTTAACCCATTGCGCCACTAGGGGTGCCTTCCACAAGATAGTGGTGGCCACCAATTTAGTTGACTTCAAAAAGGAATTAAGCAAATCCTAGTGTTCTCTAAGACTGTTAGAGGCAGTTGTTGGGTAACAACAGGAGGGGATATTACCCAGCTTGATCTTCTGTTTTCTTGTTCAGAACTCAGCTTTGTATCTTGCCATGGATTGTACCTTAATTTTATCTTTTTAAACAGGTGACACCATAGATTATCAGAAGCAGTTGAAGCAGATGCTCAAAGACTTAGCCAAAGAAAAAGATAAAAAGGCAGAAAAAGAACTACCAAAAATGAGCCAGGTGAGAGATCATGGACTGCAAAACATACAGTTCTTTGTACAGATATGTAGTACCTGGTATGGATGTAACTGTTTTGTTTAACAGGTAGTTCTTGCTTGGAGACTAATAGGAGCTTTTAGCAGAAAGCAACAACTAGACTTGTTGAACCTGTCGTTCATGTTAGGTTGTATTTCTATACTGTAAGAAAAGTAGCAGACTTTTTTTATGAAAGGCAATAGCAGGGACACCCATCACTTCAATTTCACACTGCAGGAAGCACACAGGGATTTTAGTGAACCTCTATTTCCACGTGAAAGTAAAATTTGAAAGATGCCTTCAGGCGATTCTTTGATCTCCCACAAAGGCAGGCAGGGAAAGGTGCGTAGACATTCACCAACTAATGAAATCATTATCAGCATAATTTCTATTAGTATTAAGATAGTTTGTGTGACCATTTTGAGGCTAGTAGAGCAGAGCTGAGCAAACTAATAATCCTGGAAACAATTCATATTAGTCACTCCCCAAAAACAAAAACTAGAACTTCATCTGTTTTTCAGGTGTTGCAGTTCCAAGGGCAGCAAAAAGATGGGCAGGACAAATATGGCCACATGCTACAAAACCTATGGAATAATCCTCCCGTGGAATAATCCTATGGAATGGAAGAATTCTCCTCTTTCATGAAAACTCTATGTAACATACTCCTTCCTAAATATTCTCTTTTGTTTTTCTAGCGAGAGTTCATCCAGTTCTGCAAGACTTTGTACAGCATGTTTCATGAAGATCCAGAGGAAAATGAGTTGTATCAAGCCATTGCTACAGTGACTACTCTGCTACTTCAGATTGGAGAAGTGGGTCAAAGAAGCACAAGCTCAGGCTCAGATGATTTTCCGGAGGACTTCCAGGCGGAGGCCTCTACCTCAGATCAAGATGTGGTTTTTACCGACACTGTGAAGACCCCTAAAAATGTACCCTTGTCAATGGCCGAAGGGGACTGGAATATTTCTTTTGAACACATTTTGGCATCCCTATTAACTGAACAGTCTCTGGTCAACTTCTTTGAAAAATCTTTAGAACTGAAACCAAAATTGGATAATGCAAAGCTAGCTCAATATAGTTTGAGAACAAATGGCACAAGTCAGCTCTCACGGGGTGAGACGGAACAGCTAAGTGTAAATTGACAAATGTCCAGGAGAATGTTTCACCAAAGCACATTTTGAAATGTGTTTATTAGACCTTTTTGATGCCTTGGTGGTCTGATAAATGCAGTTGAACTTTAAAGCCAAAATGTTCTGACACTATGGTTTTCTTCTTGAATGTAACTGTAAAAGAAAACATCTTCCCTTTGAGGATTCTGTAAATGTGTTAACTGGTTCTACAAACAAACAAACCACCCTTATTGTCATCTTTGGCTACTGTCTGCAAATTTTATGTATGATTGTCTTTTTTGCACTAATACTGAAGACGTTTCAATGCTGGTAATTGAAACTTAATATATTTGACTCAAGGTTTGTAGGTCTTGCTCTGTTCAATGTAGATGGAGGGTGCTTTTCATGTCTATTATGAGAGTGTGCACTTTTCAATTAAAAAAAACCTCTTTTGCATCTGTTGTTTGCACCTCTGAATTACTCTCTTGATCAATGTTTTCATTAATCCAGTGTTGTTTGTGGTGGAACATTTCTTTTCTTAATCACTGGAGCTTCCATGAAATTAACTGTCCTGCTGTCAGGCAGAAGTGGAGTCACAGCATTATTAGTACCGTCTTCCCATCCCTCTTAGACAGCATTTACTTCCTTTGATCAGGGGCTTCTCTAAACTACCCCCCCCCCCCAAAAAAAATCCAGTTACAATTCAGGTTATTCATCCCACACCTACCTGTAAATTCAACTAGCTCCATTATTTTTCCTAGCAGAGCTCCACTGGAGATTTGTTGGCTTGGACATCAGAAATTAATGTGATCAATGGCAAGGAAACAGCCTGATTGACCCCTGACCGCTTGTTCTCAGCAAGCACCTCCCACAGCAGTGCTCTGCCAGGAAGCTGTTTGGCAGGGACCCACCCCTCACTTCCCAGTGCAAAAACTAAGAAATCTTTGCTATCTGAAGGCATGCATCCCAGCAAGTAGTAGTGGATGTGTTTTATAAGAAAGGCTACCCAACTATCTGCCCTTCCCATCTCCCCCACCCCAAAGCCACTTCAATCAAGATTGTATGCATGCAGCAACACTAACATGTCAATATTTTCCTGGAAACTACTGAGCAAGAAGAGTTTTGAAATATCACATTAAAGTAGCATTTCTCAACCTACGGGTCAGGACTGGGGGGGGGGGTTGTGAGAGGGTGTCAGGGTCACCAAAGACCATCAGAAAACACAGTATTTCATGTTGATCATGGGGGTTCTGTGAGGGAGGTTTGTCCCAATTCTATTGTTGCTGGGATTCTGAATGCTCTTTTGATTGTAGGTGAACTAAAAATCCCAGCAATTACAATTCACAAATGTTAATGTTATTTTCCCCAACCTCCACCAGTGTTCACATTTGGCCATATTGAGTATTTATGCCAAGTTTGGTCCAGGTCCAAAAGTATGAGAAAAAGTACCTTCAAATCATGTGAAATTACATGTTCTGACTTCAAACTATTTCAAACAATACTGATCTGCCAATCTGTGAACTGTGGTACATGAGCCCTCAAAAATAGGCACTTTCACCAAGAAACTTGTTAGGATCACTTTTACAATTTTTATTGTAATAAAAGTTTAGTTTTCATCCACATTGACCGTCTGTAGACCTGTGAATAAGAAAAAGAAAGGGAACTTGTGTAAATAGTTGAATATACCAATCTGAAGTTAGCAAACATCAGCTTCAGATTCCATACACAGATAAACGCTAAAGAGACTAGTAAAATACAGCCCACACAGCAGAAACTTCAAATTTTCCTCCATTATTCAACAACAACTACAACAAAAGTCACTTACTTTTGAAAGTGGTCACGGGCACGTACGTAACCAGTGTGTACAGTTTATTGGGTGAATCTTCATCTTCATTGCGTTTTCGAGACAAACGCACACGGATGCGATAAGGAACGTTCCTACAAAATATTTGTAAATGTGATTGCATTTAATATTTACTTGCTTAAGCCAGCAATTAACAGTGAATACAGAATTCCAATTTAGTAATGCTAATGCAGAAAAATTTCTCAAGCTATTCTTCAGAACTAAGAAAAACTCAAAAGTCTTGAATTACTCATGAGATTTATATCTGTAAAACATTAACTATGAATATTACCATTTAGTACTTCATTACTTTGAAAACAGTCCTCTGATGTTTAAAATACTTCAACCATGCAAACAATCTACAGTGAGGAACAAAATGGTTAGTCTAGCCAGTGGTTCCCAACCTTTGGTTTTCCAAGTGTTTTTGGACTTCAGCTCCCACAATTCCTAACAGTTGGTAAGCTAGCTGGGGTTTCTGGGAATTGAAGTCCAAAACAAGTGGAAGACCAAATGTTGAGAACCATTGGTAGACAACTGAATCCAGAATCATTGGAAGTAAATATTCCAAGGTGTAATAATAGTAATAATCACTATTACTATTTAGTGCCGTATTCCACTTGTTTTAGTCTTGGCAGTTTGTTTGTGCATTGAAAATGAAGAAATAATGCCCAAACATTTGAATCAGCATTTTAAAAAAAAGGTTTGCAGAACTGTAAGACTGGGAAAAAACTTACAGCTCAGCCCCAAAATTTGTACCAATTCGTTTGACACAACTCAATTAGGATTCAGATATATTACAATGACATTTGTATCTTTTGCAATAACTTTAGTATGTATATCAATATAACAGTTCTCAGAACGAGATTTTTAGCAATAGCTTCCTTTTCTATCAGCAAAGGAAGAAAGTTTGTTCTGAACTGTCTAAAATATACCTTATTCCTTTTGCCCAGACAGCTTTGTTTAAGCGGGTGTCAATGCGTACATCAGGAGTCCCCATTTCTTTCATTGCAAATTTACGGATCTCCTTTAGAGCACGAGGTGCCCGCTTTTTGAAGCCCCTAAATGCAAAAATATGAATTAGGTGAGACAAAACAGCTTCAAAACCCGAGGAGCCCATATTTGTACATATAGCTCAAAAAAGGGAGCAATATACAACAACAGAAAAGCAAAGATATTACCATTCTAGAAAAATAAGTTTCAACAATAAGGTGGAGGACAGGGTAAGAATCAGTGTCACAGTTTTTGTAAACAGTGGTGTTGCCAGTCCTGAATCTCTGGGTGCCAATCTGGAGTCCCATAAACCAGACTGCTTCCAAAAGCCACATTTTCAGCAGTCTGGGAAATGCATTAGGCTGGGAATCAAGGTAGCTACTGTCTGGTCTTCTCTGCATTTGAACCTTTCCCCCACTTTCTGAGGTACAGACACAAGGAGAGAGAGCAAGCAGTCTCAGCCCACTCAGCATCCCCAAAGATAGACTCTTCTACTCTTGCTTTTGAGGAAGTGAAGTTATTTGTCTCCAAATAAATGCATTTCAGACACAAGTGGGCCACAAATGGAAAGCAATGGAGTCTCCAGTCACTTCATTACTTTTAATTTCTTCTGCTGTTCCCAGTCACATCACTGTTAAATTACTCCTTTTTCCTGCTCAGCATTGTGATGAGTATGAACTCCAAATAGCCTCTGTTATAAACAGGAAAGATGCTGAATCTGTTCCACTGTCCATCAACAGTACACAAGAAAGCCTACTTCCTCTTTTCCTCTTGATGTCAAGTGCCAACAGCTTAAAAATATTATCCTACGCAGACTAGTCAGTGAGTCTTGAATTTAAAAGCAGCCTTACATCCTCATCCAATGGAGTACAAACACAAGGAAACAACTCTGTATTCAAAATATTTTTATCTTTCTTATCCCAGTATTACAAATCCTTAGTATTTATATTTATTTGTAATACAAAGTCTTACATGTTAGTTATCAGTCTTTTTGCTTGTACCACCGCCAAAATGAACAAACACTGTATTTTGTTTTTAAGGCGTTTACCCAAACATATGCTTTTTAAGTCACATAGTTTGGTGCCACGAACACTTAAAAACAGGGCCATAAAAGCAGGACTAGGAACAGCCTGTGCCGCTAAGGAAGTCCTTTTCCTTCCTTTTCTCAAATACTCTTTCAAAAGCTTGCAAACACAAGTCATGTAGCTCATTAGGTGAAAGATAAGCATCAGGATGTCCTCCAGATGTACTACAGGGCCCATCATCCCTGCCAGCAAGGCCAATGAGCAGGGATTATGGGAGATTCAGACCAAAAGACTTGACAGCAACCATGCTGCCTACTCTTGTGAACCATTTTTTACCATGCTTTTTATTTTCAATTTACAAATTCAAAACAGTGAAACAGATTTATATACATGTATACATGCATGAACCAATGCAATACTTCCAAACATCTATACAATATTCCTGTTTGGTTATGCTCTTCCCCCTTCTCCAACCTTCCCCAATTTAGTGACTTCCCGTCCCTTGGATTAGAGACATTCATATATAATTCTGTTATTCCTTCCTGTTACATTGTTTTTCTAATTTTCCTTCTGGCATGGTATCTATTATTGATAAGATTCCCTACACAGATTCTGAACAGGTTAAACTATGAAGCCGTCTATAAAAATTTTCCCTTCCTCCTTTTTTTAAACATAGTTTAGAAATGGTTCCCAGTCCTTGATAATAGTTTTTTGTGTGTTCTTCCTTCCTTCATAATTGCTAATTTGCCCATTTCTGTTATTTTAAAGTCTTTAACTATCCATTCTTCTATTGTTGGGAGAGTTGCCTTCTTCCAGAACTCTGCGTATACTATTCTTGCTGCTATAATCATGTAGTGTAATACTTTATAAATTGTTAATTCTTCTGGTTATTTGATATTACCAATAAAAAATAATTCGGGCTCCAATTGTATCTTTGAATGAAAATTTTCTTGCAGCATTTTTGCATCTTGGCCCAGAATCATTTTGCTTTTTTACAGGACCACCACAAGTGGAAAAAGTTCCTTCCTGTTCTTTACATTTCCAGCAGTTGTTGTTTCTTTCCTTACACATTTTAGCTAGATTTGCTGGGGGTCAGGTACCTCAACCATTTTTAAAAACTCTGTTGGCAGTTCCTAGTCTATATTAACATAAAAGAAATGAATGTCTTTTTGCATATAAAAACCACCATCTTGCAGGGTACTCTATAGGAAAATGCCTTCCTCAGCAGAAAACAATATGGATAATGCCTTCACAGAGATGCAGGTGGGAAGTGAATTAAAAATCCAATGTAAACATATCTTGTGCCAATCTTCAGCAATCCCTCAGATCAGCACACAAATGCACAAGAAACATAAACACAGGGGGGGAAAAAGAAAAGCTTCTTACACGCCATGGATCCGTTTGTGAATGTTTATAGTATATTCCCGAGTAACCACCTCATTGATGGCTGATCGCCCTTTCTTCTTTTCGCCACTTTTCTTTGCGGGGGCCATCTATATCAGACAAGAGAACATTTAAAGCGCACAACATAGCACAGTCCACTAATATAAAGAACGCACAATATAGAACAGTCCACTAATTTAAAGAAGCACCATTCCCCAAGTGTCATCAGGCGCATTATTAGATCTTTCCCAAATTTTCTGCAAGCATCCCTAAAGAGGAAATAAAGCCACCATTGAATGAATGGAACAATACCAGCAGATTCCTCCTGCCTGATGAGAAGGATCTACTCCAAAGCTGATGAAAATCTTACTAAATAGCAAAAGTCCTCTCAAATGAGACTGCATTTTGTCAGTGCTTATTACAGGTCTCCCTTCAAAACTCATCTTATACATTACTTCAGCAACCTTTTCGTCATTACATCACCACTGACTTTCCTTAAAGGCTCCAGATCTTCAAGTGCTCCCTGATCTCCAGAGGGTACCCATTCATTCATGCACTTGAAAGCCCAGAGGTGCTAAAATTAGTACTGTTGCCATACAATTTCTATGGGGGTTTCCTACCAATTCTCAAAGCTGTCTTTTCTAACTTATTTGTATATAGCTTCAAAAGACAGACTGAGGTTCAAATGGGATACTATACAGAAATGAGTGTTCTGCCCAAAATGGGAAAGGCCAAATTCTTATCTTATGAGATACTGTCTCTGTTCTCTCCTCCCTCCCCCAATATACTGTATCCCCTCTAACAGTGAGTACAGGTGAGAAGCATCCCATTTTCTAAATGCTTGGGAACAGAAGCAATTTCGGATTTCGGAATACCTGCATTTCAGATTGTAGTAAGCCCTCTAAGAACTGAAACCAAAATTGAGAAACAAGAAGAAACCAGCAATATTCTGAAGAACAGTAGTTATAAACTTTCAAATATTTCTGGACTTTAGTTCCCAGAAAATCTAGCCATCTTGGGCAATGGCCAGGGATTGTGGGAACTAAAGTCCAAAACATCTTGAGGACTCAAGTTTTAAACATCCTTTATAGAAATACCAAACCAAAAGAAAACATATAAAACTCACTAACACCAGTAAAACAAAATGTATGGACATCATCTCCCCACTCCAGTAATTCAACATTAGGCAGCCACACATCCTGGTGTCTAATTGGAGGAGATGAACAAAGACCAAGGAATTGAGTTCAATGCACAGCAACTAGAAGATACTGCACTGTCCTATACTCCAGTTCCAGGGTGAGAAAACCAAAAACCAACTCGTGCCTGAAGGCCTAACTAGCACCTGAGCCAAAGCACTCTTCCCAGGATAATTCTAAATAGGACATTGACAACTCCAAAAATTAATGTTACTATTCGGCCCGAAATTAATAATGATAATTTNCTGGGAGAGGGAGATACGGGAAAGGGAGTATAAAACATTCATTTCGGCCCAAAATTCTCAATAACAAATTGGTAACCTCCAAAGATCAAAGACAAAAGCAAATTCGACCCAAAATTCTAAATAGGACATTGACAACTCCAAAGATTAATGTTACTATTCGGCCCGAAATTAATAATGATAATTTGACAACCCCAAAACTTACTCCTGACAATATACAACTGAGGTGCCGGGATGGTGGCCCCTCCAAGCTAAAGGTGGTGCTGTTCAATTCCAGGTCGGTAAATGGAAAATCTTCTATCATTCAAGATCTAATCCAAGAAGAACGAGCCGACCTGGCTTGTATAACGGAGACCTGGTTGGATGAGGGGGGAGGGGTCAATCTCTCCCAACTCTGTCCACCAGGTTATTCCGTTCAGCACCAACCAAGGCTTGGAGGGCGGGGAGGCGGAGTCGCAGTGGTCTATAAGGACTTTATTCCACTGATCAGGTGTCCCATCCCACAATCATCTTCCTTTGAATGTGCCGGCTTTAGGATAGGTGACCGGGACAGGATAGGGATTCTGTTAGTGTACCGACCACCCCGCTGCACTACAGTCTCCCTACCTGAGCTAGCGGGAGTGGTCTCGGACATGGCGTTGAGCTTCCAACGGCTTCTGGTCTTGGGAGATTTCAACGTCCATGCCAAGGCCCCTCTTTCTGGCGCGGCTCAGAACTTCATGGCCGCCATGGCAACCATGGGCCTGTCCCAACTAATATCGGGTCCCACCCATAGTGCCGGGCACACTTTAGATTTGGTTTTTGTCCAGGGATGGGATGAGGGTGACGGGATGGAGGAGCCGACCATCGCTCCGTTGCCATGGACCGATCACCACCTGATCAGATTTAGACTAACTGGGCCTCCTAACCTCCGCAGGGGTGGGGGACCCATTAGAATGGTCCGCCCCAGGAGACTTATGGATCCAAATGGACTCCTGACGGCTCTTGGGGATCTCTCCACCTCCTTGGCTAGTGATACTGTCGATACTCTGGTCTCTCGTTGGAATAATGAGTTGACTAGGGCAATTGACACTATCGCTCCGGAACGCCCCCTCTCGAGTAACCGAGCTAAACCAGCCTCTTGGTTCACCGAGGAGCTGGCAGAGATGAAGCGAAAGAAGAGGAGGTTAGAGTGCGTGTGGCGCCAGAACCCCACCAATCCAGCCCAAACATACCTGAATGCCTTTCTAAGGTCCTACGGTGTGGCAATAACGGCAGCTCAGAAAATATTCATCACAGCCAATA